TTAGAGAATGTTGGGTACAGATAGGTGCTAAGTAATGTCCGGAGGGAGTAGCTTAACCTCCTAAGCAGACTATGGCAGAACAGAGTATGGGCTAAATCCTAGAGTGGTAAAGCCTCATGGTGGATTTAGTCATTCTGCCCAAATCTAGGCTGCATAGCAAGCATTCCCCTATGAGCTGCGAGCTTCCCTGGCCGTAAAAAAGAGCTTTTTGGCATTAGGACAGCACAAAAAATGGGGCAAGAACAAAAAGGTTGAAGGAGGCTCCCCCCAACCGCCCACTACTTTGACCTTTTTTGCCCTTTCCCCACTTTGACGTGGCCCAAATGTGAAAAAGCTCTTTCACACGGCCCGATTTCATTCATCTCATATGGGAACACTTGCTAGGTATGCTAGTACAAATGCTACAAATGCGTTAAGTATATGCAAATCTAGGGGTGCAAATCAGCTATTCTTTCTAGTAGACTGCAATGTAATTTTCATGCCTGAAACCAGACATCTGCCTCACTTTTTTAAAAACATGACAGTTTCAGTATACATGTACATGACATGCTAAAATTACATAGTCATGTACATGTAGCCCTTCCGGTGTTTGAAAAAATTGTCAACTTTGGAAGAACCAGCAAGCATCCTGGCATATTTTGAAGTGCTGTGTGGCTTGTCTCTCTTGACAGTTAGGAGGAGCCTTGTAAGTTGTGGCTCAGCAACCAATACAAACACTTTAGTCTGAAGGACCTCCTGCCTCGTGAGTTGTCAGCCCTTATTGCTGACACATAAAATCTGAGGACCTTTGTGCCAGCTCTTCCTTTCTATAGCGTATCATTTATGATGATTTGTCCTCACCTATTTTCTCCCTAAACAATTTTTCACAACTTTCTTGGATTGTTGACATACATATTTTTCTTTTTTACAGATATGGACTCAGAGGAAGGGAATTAGTTACCAGTATTGGCAAGATCATGCTTCAAGGAGGGGGAACGTTTGGAGTATTCATGTCAGTCGGCACAGCTATCAGATGTTGAGTGCTAACTAAACAAACTGTTTTGGAACCCTGACCATATTAACTGTTATGAACAAGATCTATTGAAATATTGATAAGTGTGAGATGTGGAAGAACAGCTCGCTACAGTCTGGGAGATAGCACTGAACTGCATAATTTCTATAAAAAAAAGTCCAACTGGATACTGAGAAAAAAGATTAAATATAAAGGGTTGGATATGTTATGAAAGTGGACCAGATATCTGTTGCATTATCATTCTTGTCGAAGGTGTTAGAAGTGTTGTGGATGCTATGTATAGGTGTATGGGCACTTTTGGACTTGGGGAGTGGTGACTTTCTTGCCTGAAAAATTTATGCAATGCCCGAATGCGAGGGTTTTGAAATCGGGATGCAAATACACTCAAATTGCATGAAAAACAAAAATGTTCACAATGCTGACATCTAATGAAACTGCTATAATTCCAAAAATAGTTATATTCAAAGCTTACATAATCAATCAATCATACTCTATCAACAGTCTTAATCTGAGTAAAATCTAAAACTTGTTAAAAGAAAAAACTCTAAAAAAAGTAACTACCGTAACGTACCATATGATGTTATGCAAAGCAGTTTCCAGTAAAAACAGGAAATAATTTATTTACATGTTGACAACAAAAAGGGGAGGATAGCAAATGTGCCTATGCAAAACATAGTGAAGCAAGTTTATCATTCACTGGGTTTTGAGCCCAGCCAGGGGACATTGTGTTGTGTTCTTGGGCAAGACACATTACTCTCGTGGTGCCTCTCTTCACCCACGTGTATAAATGGGAACCAGTGAATTTAACACTGGGGGTAACCCTGCAATGGAGTAGCATCCCATCCAGGGGGAGTAGAAATACTCCTAGTCGCTTCATGGTACTGAAACCAGGATAAGCTTCAGCCTGATGAGCCACCTGGCTCGTAAGCAGACTTAACCTACCTTTTACCTTATGTACTGACACTTTAATAAATGCAATTTTTCTTTCTATTGGAAATGATTTTTTTTCTAGGAAACTGCATGTTCCTTTCTGTGTTTTATAATCCCGTTCTTTGCTTCAAACATTAATTCTGGTCCAGTGTGAGAGATATCTAGCTTGTTTTCGAGATGTGCAAAAATACATTTTTCATCCTTTTAAGTGGCCAGGAAATTAATAATTACAGTAATGGACACATGTTCTTGGGTGTAAACGTGATTTGGGCTCTTCCTGCTTTACAGACTGTACAGAGGTCTACAGACCATTCTGAAAGGCACACCTTTCTATTAATAAGCTCCCCCGCCCCCAGGAGAGAGAGTAGCATTCAAGACATCGGTAAAGAATAAAGGAAGCAGCATGGCTGAGTGGTTCGGGTGCCAGACTTGACATTCAGAGGTCATGGGTTCAAGTCCCGCTCCGACAATAAAGCTGGAGTTGTTTCTCGGTAGACCCCAGTTCAACTCCTCGGTCATGCTTGTAAATGACCAACTGATCTGCCTCCCGCCAGTTGGGATTTTTAAGCCTCTTATGTTTATTTGAAATACATGTATTTCTTTCAGTCTAAGTGGCTTGCCTGAGAACTAGCTGGTTGTAGCTAAGCACATCGACCACCATAAACATTCAACTTTTATTAAACAGACTGATTAGAAGAATGAATTGGAAAGTCTGCCTTCTTATGATTGTGACTGTCAGAATGTCTGTAGTTACAGTTTTGAGTCAAAGTGTGTTTTTTTTCAGTAAAGTATTGAGCCACATTCAGATGTATTAGTGACCTGGTTCAAAAAGGTATCACTTTCAGTAAGCTAAGCGCCCCTTGCCTAATACTAAATAGGCACCCCGTCTGCAACAAACGCCCACCCTTGAGTTACCAAAAGTAAATTAGCGCCCCTGGCACCTAGCCAAATTGAATCATTTACGGTATCGATAATTTTCGGAAGTTAACGATTCTCCTGGTAATTTGCCAGTGATAGAAACAAACTGTTTAGGATTTCCCTCAGGGAAAATGAAATCGTGCTGAAAAGACATGCAGAGACCTCTCAAAAAAACCCGAAAACGTTCCCCGTTTGAACGTGTCACACGTCAAATACGTTCCCGCCTCGTCACCAGTTTCCCTGCTGCGTTTTCCTACATAGGTACCAAAACTTTTCGCCTCTTGCTTTATCTCGAGATGCTCTGTTCTGATTGTCTTCACCGCATCAGGCGCTGGGATTGTTAGCATGCTGTGCTATTAATAATGGTGTGGATCAGCTTTTGGCTTTGCCTTCTAGGATAATTGATCTGCCAAGTGGACACGCTTTTAAAATGTAATCCGCGAGCACTTTACTTTGTTTTGTGTTTTATTTTTAGCACTCGTACTATTATTTTTATTTTCCTTTTAAAATTTTTAATGCACAACACATTAGCAGTGTTGGCAACCTTTCGCAAATTATGATGAATAATTCAAATGTAAATGCATGAAAATGGAGTGAGAAGTGACGCCCTCAATACACCCGTCTTTTTTGGTTCTCGCGCATTTTCCGAGGGCTGCTTGAGCTGGGACACCACTGTGATAAGGTGTCGAGTATTGGGGGAGAAATCTCTTGATTCTCAGGTGCCTGAAAAGTTACCGAAACGTCAAATTCTCTGTTTTGTGGCCAATTACATCTCAAGCCTGCTGCCGAGGCCATTATGAAATTTTGGGGTTTTCATTGCTAAGTTTACGCTTTCAGTAGATCTAACGACCTAACTTTTCTATGTATGCCGACTTGTGAAGGAAGACATACCCAGTAAACCTGTTTAGCTGGTTTTAGAAATTGAGCTGCCCCAACTCAACGCCTATCTTCATTTTCGTGAAGTCAAGTTGTAGATTCAGTTCACTAGCGGTCAGTTTATTAATGAAAGACTCATTATGTCTTCTGGGAATATCATAATTCTAAATGAAGCAAAGCTTTGCATGGTAAACAGCTACAGGTCGCAGCCAAAAAAGCTTTTCGTAGCTGGGACGCTTTTTCAGAATTGAGTTTATCCAGTTGTTCAAATTTTGGTTGTTCTTTTCAACCGATCAGAGGTTTCCTACTTAGTTTGCTTCTCTGTAATATATACATGGTCATTTTTAGTTTCATCTGTTTCTATCAATTTGAAATCAAAAAGTGTTAGCAGCCTTTCGTCGAAACTATTTTTAATCATTTTTGTCCCAATCTAGGTTATTTGAGCTTTCGAAAAAGATGCGTATGTTAACTTATTAGAACTCGTGCTAAGACAAATTTAGAAAATGACAGAAAATAATACAGCAATCATACAACAGACTCAAAATTCATCAGCGATTTAGACCTCACACAAGGCCCACGACAAAATAGAACAACAAAAGGAATTCCGACCTGAATTATTTTACTTTCCTAAATAAAATATTCACTGATTAGTATGACAATGGATTTGAGAATTAACGCACTGCAAATATAAGCTTATAAACAAAACCATGTTCTTAATCTGTATATATTGAAGAAAGATTGTCTGGTGAAAGCAATGACAAAATAAATTTGCCAATAAAATTTACCAGTTAATTTTTTCCTCGTCGATTAAATCTAAGGAATTTTTATATCTACTGTTATATGCATTTGCTTTTCAGGTTTTAACGCGAGAAAGACTTTATCGTTAAATTGCCTTCATGTGCTATGGACCAGGTGCTTGAAACTTAAGGCTATATATAGCATCATGTGCTTGAAATATCCGCCCTTGATATTAGGTCTCCTGGTGCATGTCATTAACCACTGCGCCTCGTAGAAGCCATTTCCGCTAATTTTTTCCCCTGTGCAATCGAATTTTTATACTTCTGTGGAAAACGGCAAAAGAACTCGACATCAAGACTATTATTTCCTGAAAAAAATCGAGTGGCTTTTTCACCTGGTTTTCGGAGAGACATGAAGGGCGCAACTTGTGCTTTTATTCGAAGGAGTGCTCTTAGCCTTGTAATGGCATATTATTACGATCAAAACTTTTTGCTAACCTAACTCCGTGAATTTATTGACTGCATGGATCGCCATTCACAGGAAACCATGGAGTCTCTTTTAGGAGAGAAACAAAATATGGTTTTGTCACATTTAATTTAGTGCCAATATTGACTTGTTGTAGTTGCCTTTGTTGGTCCTTAGACTTAATGCCCTTTTCCGCTATTATAATATATATTACTTGCAATAGCGACTTCAAAACACTTTCGTTTTTCGTTTGCCGAAATTTTCATTATTCTGTTTTCCTTGCTAAGTCTTTCGATTTACTTTTTTAGTAGCTTTTCTGGAAGAACATACTCTGCAGTGATATGATATGGATTACTGGTTTCACGGATTTTTTTTGGGATTTTTTTTTTTCTGCGTTGTTTTAAAAATTTGCATGTTGGTTCAACGCTGGATTTAACTTTGTTGTTTACGCTCGGACGTCTGACCTGACAGGTAATTTTTCGTGGGCGGATTGCGCTAAAAAAAACACTCAAAAAAGCTTATTTTTTAACATCTGCTAGTTCTCAGTTTTCCTTCCTCTGAGTTTGACCGCGCGGACAAAAGCTGGATACGAAAACTTTCTGTTATCAACAAAGATGGTAGCAGAAGGGAGAGAGGCTTCAATCGATTATGTAGCTTCAAATTCATAAGGTCATTCCTATCAGAGAAAGACAATTACTAAGAGTATGCCTTTACTTCTGTGCTGTTGTGCCTCTGAAAGGAGAAAACAGTTCAGCGAAGTCCAGTTTGAAGTGCTATGAATTTCGGCCCGTCTTCATCAGCCGCTAGCAACGATGGAATCAACAACTCTTTTCAAAGACTTTCTGTTACTCAAATCTCCCCAACGGACATCAGAAAGAATGTTTGGACGCTTCAGAAGGCGTTTAAAAGCGTGAATCAGACTGGTAATGTGTGCTTGAAACTTCAGCATGCTTCCAGAGGCTTCAACCATTTTGGACAAGGTGTTGCTCTTTGCGAGATTTTCAGTGATATCGGTCAGAAATTAGTTGATCGTTCAAAGATTGTACTGGCAAGAGAGTGTTTAGTGCGGCTTGAAGCTTCGGCCAAGTTTGTCAGAGAGCTAGAGGATGCCGTGGAAAACTACACCTCCTACCTAGAGAGTGAAAGAGCAATTCCAACCGAGTTTCCATTCAAAGTGGACCGATTCCACGACATTTGCCACACGGCCAAGTCGCACTGTATGTACCGGGTAGCTATAGCAGAACTCATTTCCTCCGATCCGTGGCTTGGGAAATGTGTACCAGACATGCGGGATGATTTGAAAATCGTATCTAAAACCCTCTCTCAGCTGGCAGGGACTGCTTTGTCCCTCATTTCAACGATCCTATCTTGTGTGTTGCGCCTGGCCGAGAAATGTAAATGGGATTTGAGTCAGCAAGATTTAAGCTCTGTTTGCCAGGGAATTGAAGATTTCAATCGTCTTTTTGAGTACGCTACAAATTTTCAGAACGATGGAAGGGAATTACTAAGTTTGAGCGAGGCAAGAGATTTTTTACAGTCGAAGTATCATTCAAGTGTATTTTCGTCCACAGCTGTTCGAAACTCAACTGGTGATGTTTATTTACTGACATTGAACAAACTTTTGAATGGCGTGGCTAGTGAACGCTGTAGAATTTTGGCCGGAAATGTTCATAAATTCGTTAGCGAACATCAAGAGGTATCACGGACGTTAGAGTACGACTTTGCCGCAAACTTCGAGTGGAAAGACTTTGGTGTGGTATGCACAGGAGGCAATATGAGATTAGAAGGCACACTGAAGAATGGGGTGCTGTCGGTTTTAAACCGAAACCATATCCCATTGTTGAAACTTGATCCCGATTCACCATTGTTATTGTATGATTCACAGGAACAGAAATTTTTCAGTAATTTAATATCACAACTTGCAACCTCAACAACACTTATTTTAGGCCGTCATGTCAGCGGAGAGAGAAAAAATGTTATCCAGCTACCACCATTACAGTCACTGACCTCAAGGTCAAGAGCAGCAGCAGGTACAGAACAAGAGGCAGCATCAGGAACTGAGGAGGGAGGGGTGTGCAGTAGTTCCTCGTCACAGCAGGAGGGCCATGGCATCCTTAGACACACCCCAGGGCATGGGTCTCCAAGGCTCAGTAAGCGTGTTCAGTGGCATGCACCCCTAGATTCGGAAACCACCAAGCTGTTACACTTTCAATACAGCAGTGTGCTTTGGAGCAGTTTTGGTGAAGAACTATTGAACGTGATGTCGCAAAATCCAGTTTCTTTCAGCTCAGGAGATGCTTTCATTGGCCCATTGTTTCTGTGGCCTGATTTCCTTCTGATAGTTGTTATGCGCATGATGGAGTCTTTGCGTTTGTCTGGTGAGTACATATGCAGTTGTACATTTTGCTGAAGTACTTAAGTCACAGACTGCCATTGTTACGGCTTGTTTTGGTACATATTTTACCACACAATGTCTGATAGAGTATAGTGTCTTCCATCTATGTAGCATATCTCCCTAATGAAAACTACTGAAACTCTGTATGCCTGAGGCCAAATACTCTTTAGAAGCTTTTTTCTACAAGCAGAAACAATATTCTCACAATTTGTGCAAAATAGGTCGGAGTGTTATAAATAACAAATAAAAATATGTTTCTAAGCTTGGGTCACAAAATATAAAGAGATAAAAATATATAATTTTTTGAAATTTTAGGAGATATTAATAAAAGTATTTTAATGATATCACTTTTCTGCAGACCTCTAGAAAAACAGAATTCTTTCATTTCTAGAAAATGCATTTTCTGTTTGGGTTATAGGTACACTTCCTTTCAATTGGTTTTCTTCAGCAGTGGTAGATATCATTTATCTGTACGAAAACTTGTTCACTTTCATTTTATGCTTTTGTCATTCAAGGATATTTTTGGCATTGTAAATAGCCAACTCAAATACTGTGCTGTTCTGTGCTAAATTTATCACCCCTTTCATTCATTGTGAATTAACATTCACTCAAGGCTACCTTTCTTTTCAGAGAAACTAACCTTGAAGTGCCATTGAGGCCCCCATTATCTTAATTTATTATTATTTTATATGTATTTTGCATAAATTGTGATTTCTGCAGCTTGTCCTTTTATATTTTTTCATGACAACCCAAAACGGCTTTGATACCCAGAAAGTTGTGTCATAAAATGAATTTCCTCCTCTTTTCTGTTTAAACTCATTCGAGGACATGCCTCATGCAGTAATAATTGTCTTTTCACTATCTATGAAAAAAATATTGACTGATATTTCTGAGGTTCAAAGTTTGTCCCTATTTTTCTTTTTGATATGATGGTAATTATGCAGTCCCTTAAATGTACCAGTTTTGCGTGTAAATTCCAGATTTAAATAGGACATTTTAAATGTAAAGTTAAACTCGCATATTCTAATTCATCACTCTTCCCTAATTGGATGTAGTTTGCCTAGAGCCAGGTGTATTGAAGGGAAACTAATTTCAAAGTCTCTGATATCTGATCATGGAGAAATGTGCATTGTGTAAAATGTGAATGAATTACTGTAGAAGCTCAGTCAAACAGTATTTATGTCTTTATGTATATTGAACACTGATCTTTTTAAATTTTGTTGCAATATCGTCAGTGAAAAATTTGATGATTCATTGTGAATGAGACATGTCTTTTTTACCTGCTCGTGTGATTGATCTGAAGTCAAGACTAGTCATAAAATTAGATTGTTTATGCTAGGAAAGAAATGATTGTATAACATGCCAATGTTTCATGACAAATGTGTGCTATAATTTGTTTCAACTCCCACATGATCTGTGAGATTTCATTCAAAATTGGTGTAACATAAAATTATATATTTTCAAACTGTGACGTTTTGGTGGTTCTTTTTCTTTTGTCTAAAAACATAATTATGTTCATTTTAATTACACATTCAAAAACTAAAATCAGCAAGCCCAAAACTAAACAGCTGAATTCACAGTCTGTAACTAAATAACACAAAATATTAGACTTGAAGTTAAAAAAAAAAAAAAACTGGTTTCTCAAGATCATTAATTTGATGTACAGGAGGTCAGGCTTTCTAGAATTTATCCAGGCTAATAAACTTATCACAAGTAGGAATTGTGAAATACTGTTTATGATATTTTGTATAGATTTTGTTCTTGCATGTGTTTGGCTGCTATGTATGGTTATTAATATCATTATACATGCTACCACTGCAGAGAAAACTACCTTAGCCTGTGATCAGGTGTACTTTTTATATATTTTTTGGCAAACAGGGGAAGAAGAAAAAAGAACACCTGATACATTTACTTCGTGAGTCATCTGCCGCCCCTTCGATTCTTACCTGTCAACAACGATGTTATCTTGTGTCATGCCATAAATGTGAGCCAATTAGATTTTACTAGGCTGACAATTCACTGTATGCAAGTATATCCATCTCTGCGGCCAGTGCCAGACTTCGTGTTTGAAATTGCACCGGAAGTCAAATATCCAATCGCGTAACCAATCAGAAAGGCAGGCTTAAAGACTCTTTTGTTTTATGACCAATCAGAAAAAAGGCCAGATTCTGGACTACACACAGGCAACTCGTGAAGTAATTGTATCAAGTGTTCTTTTTTTCTCCTTCTCCCTGCTGTTAAATAAAGAACACCTGATCTAGGTTAAAATGAGGGTACCTTGATTTGGTTAACAACTGCAGGGTTCAAAAATAGTGCTATCCAGAACAAGTAGATTTTTCCTCTGCTTGGGCAAGTAGCTTTTCATTCTTCCTTGCCCGATGGGCAAGGGATCAGGCAAGTTGTCTGTCAAGATATCATTAAAAGAACCAACTACGACTTGCCCAGGGCGAACAAAATTTGAGAGCTACTTGTCCCAAGGGCAAGATGGAATTCATGTATTTTTAAGTCCCGAACTGTAGGATTCAATTTTGTGTACATATTAACTCTTAACTGGTATCTAGACCAAATTTTAAATTAGCCTGGGTATATTTTTGCTGTACGGGAACAGGGAGCTGGAGTGGGGACGCACATGTACGTAAAGTGAGTCTGATAATAACTCTTTCTATGCAGTTCATTTTTTATCCCTACACAAGTTGGGTTAATTTATTTTCTAAACAATCTTTAGCTGCAGAAGGCAAATGAATGAGAGTTGAAAAGTGACCATTCTACAATTCTGGACAGTACATGCAACTGATTCCTATCTATAGCAATCATCACCATGTGCTTTCTTTTCAAAGACGTTTATCGCGTCATGATCGGAACCTTCATACAGTCGCATATTAATCTTCATCATTTTCTGATCAAGAAATGTACTTTATGACCAGACTCTTCCCAGATTCTTTCTGGGTTGTTGTTTACTGTTCATCTACATAATTATTATTACGCACTCAGTCGAAATATAAAAAAGTACAAATTTAGATTTTTACAAAATTTAGCTGGGAGAAGCAGGTGCCATCCAAGACGGCAGATGGTGTATGAAAGGAAATGAAAAAAAAAAATGTTCTCACGTACACGCCACCAAATTTATTTAGTCTCTAGTAGGCTCTTAGAAGATTGATTGTTTTCTTGATGTGTGTTAGTGTTCACATGGTAACTGTAACTTAAGATGCAGTGAGTACCTGTACATCATTCAAGCATATGAGTAATCTGATATCTACAGGATCATGTCCTATGTCCTTCTAGTAGTTAAAGGGTTAAAATGTGTCAACAATCTCCTATTTCTGAAAGATCTGAGAGCTTTCACAAAGAATTCTTTCAGAATATCATATTTCTGAGCAGCATATAAATTACCGAAAGACCAGTTTCTGTCCGAGTTAAATTAACTTTGAAATTTATTTGACTGACTAATAAAATCTGCTAATTGCTAACAACTAACCTAGCAAGAGAGAACAAAATAGCGTCACATATTCAATGTGTGGGATTTTTGAAAATACAATTTCTTGCTGCTCATACCTCAAATGGCAGGTGGCCAAAGCTATAAATTAATTTTAGTACATGTACTTCTCAAATCGATTTCTTCTTTCCCCTTTAATATGATACCTTTTGCTGGACAAACTCTTTACGATTTAATCTTTGTGTGGCTGCCAAGAGACTTGGAATAAGTTTTGTCTTTGCTAAGTGAATAGTGTAAAGGGTCGCAAGGCCAACAAAGTAGACTAGACAAAGGAAGATTTTTAAAATGTACTTAATGTTTGCAGGCTGTTTGCCACCAGCTGGTGCCAGTTCCCTTCAAGCTGTCAGCTGTTACCTCCATTGTATGGCTTCTGCATCAAGCTGGGATTCAGGTGAGACATTTCTGCTTACAATGCCTGTGTGTGGAGTCTTCCTTTCTCCTGTCAAAACATTTTGCTGCAAAAGCAGGGAAGGCTGTTTGCCTAAAAGCATTGAAAAATGAATGATTTCGTTTTTTTCTTTTAAGAAAATCTCCTAGTTTCCCTGATTACTTCAGTGAAAAAATTCTCTCAATTGATAAAATCCCTGTGTTTCTACAGGCACTTGAACATGTAAATTCTATGTTCACGACTGCACAAAGTGGGATCTGGGTCAGGCTACTAGTGACGTCACTTCGGGAACCAGGCTAAAACACTCAAGAGACTTTTGATTGAACTTCGAGGGTTGTCAAAACATTTTTGGGTTGCTTGTGATTCATATTTTAACACAACTGGACAAGCTTTTTAAGTGAAAGAACTGTATCATGTAGCATTACAATTCAAAGTCTAGCTACGATTTGGATGGCTGCGATGTATGTATTTTTTTCCATTCGAAGTGTGGGTTGCCAGTGGAGATTGTGGTGTTGTAATTTAGGCCAGGATCGACAATTTGCCAGTCCATTTGGGTTATAAAGGTACAAATAATGGCTGAAGAGTCAATGGTTGAAGAGTTAACTTACAGCTCTCAAAGAGTTATTGTGATGTCAATGAACACGAAGAGTTGGTAAATTTGACTTAATGGAACATGCAGATTTCGGAGTGTCAAAACACTTTTAGATTCAAACATTAATTTCCCCCGAAATACAAGTTAAAATGCGATGCAGTTGGAGTCCACTTCTGCTTACTCCTCCAGATCAATGATTGAAAATAGTTTTAAAATAATTAAGAGATAAGCAGAGATGTCGGCAAACAATATCCGAACGTGAGGTAACAGAAGAATACACAGGCCATGAAAATCTCTAGGTTGTTACAGTAGCGGCAAACCCGAGATGGAGGAAATCCTCGATGGCTCCCCGGCTTTAGCTTCACACAGATCAGCCCACTTCTTTGGTCTTTTTCTCGTTTCTGGTTGAGTTTCATCAAGATAGAGATATTGAATGAAGAGGAATACTCTACCCTACGCATCCTGTATTGCTACAGCCTCCAACAACACATCTAGCTCTCATTCTGCAATGATTTTGACACACTATTGCATGTTCACATATATTCTTCTCAGAAACAAAATAATGTAAGTTATTCCCGAAATGACATCAGAAGCCAACTCGTCCTATTCTCCGCTATTCTTCAGTCGTGAACATGGAAAAGGGCAATTTTACAAACTTTGAAAAATCATACAATTGAAAATTAACGAAAATAGCTGCAAAGATAATTTTTCGCAGTGGTGATCAGGAGAAAAAGGAAATCTTTTGACTGAAATCTTTTGACTGCGAGCTTTTACCGATCTTTGGTATCGTCATGGAATGTAAAGAATACATGTGTACTGTATATTAAACTGTGAATGACATAAAAAAATGGTGTAGGTGACACAAATAATCAGAAATTACATATAATAAGGACAATAAGTTGTGCAAATGTTGTGACGGTAACGAACAATTATAATAATATAGAAATCACTAAGATCTAAGCAGTCTGATGAGTTAATAAAAGGTCTCTGAATTCAACATGTTCTTCTTGGGAAGACTGCTTAGATCTTTTGCTCTCACTGCTACTCATTAGGGATTTCTTTGTTATTGTGTGTTACCATTGGCACATTTGGACAACTTATTGTCTTTATTATGTGTTCTAATTATTTGTGTCACCTACACAGCTTTTTATATCAAGGACAGTGGAATGGTTTCTTTACATTCCTTGACAATGCTGTAGATTGGCAAAAGCTTGTAATAAAAAGAAATACAGTATCTCAAGGCCTCAATCGCATTGTCTATTTAATCATCCAAAATGCTACTGAAGGACAACTTCAAAGCTATCGCGTAATGATAATAATGTTTTTCAGACTCTGGCTGTAGGTAGGAGGGTGAAGTAAAGCGTGCAATCCGTTTTTTAATCTGATCCTTCAAATTGACCATGGCTCTTTCTGTTTCTCCACCAGCTTTTTGCAATGTTCTTGGAACATCACTGAATGACAGATGCCGCATGGACAGTGACCTTACAGTAGGAGTCCCAGGCACACGGACAATACAGCAGTTGATCAGTTTGTTTGACCCCCTAGACAGCATCTTTGAAATGGCAGGTTATTGGAAACGATCATCCAATCAGCCGGAACTTCATTCCAACAGAGTTCCTAAAACACTAACATTATCACTTTTGCCAAGTCTTTGCCGTCTTCATGCACTACTGTCTTTCAGTCTAAACTGGTTTGACACAAAGATGCATCAGTTTTTAGCATCCTGGTCCTTAGAGCAGTTCTTGTTACTCATGCAGTGGGACTTGCCTATGTTTCTGGAATCAGTCAAGAAGGCATTGCTCCTTGTCCAAACGTTGTGTGTTGTTCAAGATGACAGTAACAGTTGGAACTCTCTTTCAGTGCACTATGGTCGTTTACAGGAACAAAGAAACAGCTTTGAGGTTGGTAGCCAAAGAACGTTCCCTGACTTTACGTACACTTTACGCTTTACTCATAATTTATTATTGTGCTTACTAAGTGAACATTCAAATGATTTTGAATAGTCTGGATGTTGTAATAACCTGTTGACAACTTCGTTAGTGACTACATGTCATGACAACTACGTGTGGAAGTTTCTCATTTGTAGCCAAAACTACTACAAGCGAACTTTTGCATCTTGACAAAATGGACCGCGTGGGACGGTTTGCTGGAAGCTGAAACACAAACTCTAAAACCAATTTCAGAGGCACTGCCATTTCCCAATAGTTAGCAGTTTCAACTCTAGATCAGCAGTTTGCCGTGTCTTAAGAAACTGATGATATTCTTTCTTTCATTAGGGAATGCTGAAGAAGTCATGGGTTCTTCTGTCAAAAGATTTGACAAAAATGTCAACAGAGTTCTTTCAGGAGGCTATGCCAGTTGGAAAGAGTTGGAAAAAGAGTCGCCATTCAGGTACAATGAAATTTGTATTACTAAAATATAATTAACACTGCTGTGCAGCTGGATGCCTTTTAGCACTATAGCAACCATCAACCTGGGAGAACCAAATTTTACTCCCACTAAAGACAAAAGCTCAGCCTTTTTTTAACTCTTGTCCTGCATCTTACATATGGGTTATTGACCATTTGTAAGGTCAAGATGGCCAAGTTCTTTTTTTGTGTTTATGGCATAAACACCTAATGAGGCCAATAAATTCCAGCCATCTTGACCGAACAAGCCTGATCAGTAAAGGATTTATTATAATGGCATAGAGAACAATTTTATTTTCAGAACATAATGTGTCATCCCAAGAAGACAAACTAGAGCCATCTTGCCCGCTCGGATAGCCAATCACAGCACAGGATTTGGTTCATCTTGCCCCCTCATGGAGCTAGCCATTCATTTTCTTTTAGTGTCTTATTTTTGCTCCAGACATGGTTCAAGGGAATTTTCAGCCATCAGTCTCTTAGTGTGTACTTGCTTATTGTTACAGGAGTACCTCACCAACGTAACTCTTATGCAGAACATGCAGTGTTTCAGATTTTGGAACCAGTAGTGGACAGCTCACAAGGATTACCGGAAGAAAATCGACTGAATGTGCTGACGCTTGTCATAGACACTATGATGGAGGCATGGAGTGACTGGATTCTTAAGCAAGAAATTGTTTTTAGGTAAAAGTGCAGTCTAACTGAAACCTTCCCTCAGTGGACTCCTGAACTAAAACACTGTTCTTCCCTTATTAAGCACTTCACCTAAGCAGAAACCTTAACTAATTAAGAAGACACCTCCAGTATGCATGCACGTCTCCTAAGTGGCCACCTCCTATAGGCAGACACCTCCCCTTAGTGGACACCTCCTGTAAGTAGACACCTCTCCCACTTTAAGGAAACACCTTTCCTAAGTGAAACTCCTCCAAATGGACACCTTCAAGTAGGTCAGCACCTCCTGTTAGAAAATGGACACCTCCACTAAGTAGAATCCTCCTGTTAACAGAAATCTCTACAAAGAGGATACTTTCTATAAGCAGATACCTCTGATCTCTTAAATGAGCACCTCCTACATGTTTTAGCAGACTTCTTCCTTAAGTAGACATCTCCTGTAAGGAAACATTTCAGCTAGGTTGGAAATTCGTATTTTCAGACAATTCATCTAAGTGGGCATTTCCATTTTTGGGTTCTGCAATTATTCATTCAATTACCACGCAGTCAGTGTTTCATTAAACATTACCCTTGTCAATGGTCTTTGTTAATGTGACAGCATATTCAGGAAGTAACCGTAATTTTTTTGTTATTCCACAGTTTTTATGGTGCCCAGCAGCTTAGTTTAGACTTTGGTTACATCAAAGTTTGGCTTGCCTCTGAATCAAATAATCTCTCTCCTGAGATCCAATCACACCTCTTGAACTTGGATGTGTTTCGGCACCTTGACGGTGCTGTTCGTCTGCTGATGTTGCAACCAAGAAAAAAGAAGCAGACTCCAGAAGATTATGATGAAGAGCTGGAATCAAATGTCAGCACAATGAGCAGCAGCTCTGTATTGTCGTCATTATCAGGCGTGGATATTGACGGATATGACATTGATGTTTTGAATGACAAGACAATTCCCAACAGGCAAAAGTGGCTGGATCTACGTCTGCGAGGAGGGAAATCAAAGAGAGGCTTATTGCCGTTCTGCTTGAAAGTGCAAGAAATGAAGTGATCCTCTAGGGATATTTAATGTGAACCAATGATTAATTTAGTCTGCGTGTGCAAATCAATTTATAAATTTTAACATGATAATTACTAGTTGTAATGCGTAAGGCACTGAGTTTAACTACGATTTTTAGGCAGTTTCTTGTGGGAGACGAGTCACGTGGACAAAATTTTTCCAACATGAAATATGCGCAGTTTTTCACTGTTCTCCGCTCAGCTCATACATAGCTGTGGTCAGCAAATTGTTTTGCGAAGAATCCGTCTTTTGTTGTACAGGGTATTTTGAAGTTTCCTTGTGAAGTGGATTTATTTATTCTGAAGACTGTGGAAGTTTTTCTCTTAACTTATTTTACATGCACTTACTGCTTTGGAGTTGAGGCCATTATAAAATTGTTTTACATGCTAGTAATATATTTCTTGTTGGTATTTAACTTATTTGTTGTATATAAATCATCACCATGATATGAAGTTTATTAAGCAATCGTTTGATTGCATTAATTATGGACAGCAAAAAAGGCCAAAAATTAGGCATCATTAAATAAAATGGAATTTATTAATTATTTCATACCCAGAGAGAGGTGAACTGGATAGTATTATTGTGATAGTCAATTGATAAATTATGTTTGTAGCTAAGAGCTATCACTATAGGACACCAGTGTTAGAGGCTAAGAGAGCTGTGACATTCCTTTCAGTTAGTGCTGATAGCTTACTACAAGCACCAGCTACTTCCAAAGTGATGTTATGTACTTTCTTGGGCACTACGAATTGAAGCAATAGTCAGAGGAAATTTGAAGATTCCATCAAAACTACCATAAAATTCAGAATTTCCAATAGGAACACTGACAACTCATTGAGGATTATGGTAGCTGCATCAGCTGTTGCCTTAGCCTGCATATCAGCAGTATTATTAGCCTGCGAGCAGGCTCTCGTACATTGCGGCAGGCGCAAAGTCAATGAGCAAAATGCGAGAGAGATGAACTCTTGCTTTGTTCACCAATGGCATTGCTTGTGCCACCAACGATGAGAGGCTGGGAGCAGACTACAGTTACTGTATTATGTGCACGAATGATGGCATAGTTTTGGTGGTGATACACTAGTTAATATATTTTTCAGTATGTCCCATACTTTAAGGAATGATACTCAAAGTGCTACATGCACAAATTTTATTAGTGTTCAAGTACAAGACTTGTCAAAATACTATTGCCATTGTTTTAAATTTAGACCTGTTTATGTGCAGTTATTTCCTTCAATTATAATTGAGAGGCAATATCAACATTTGACAAGAAAATGCACCAATCATATTTTAAACAATGTTACCTGTGTTCACTTGTGGAGGAAAGCCACCTCCCATATTTACACAGCAATACATCTGCACAGTTCAGCAGCCTGCACTACTTGTTGTAAACTACTATACAAGGCTAGCTACAGACAATCAATAACAAAGTTTTTAAAATGTAATATTAATAATTAATAGTTCTGTAGTAATATTGTATGAGAGCTGTCAAATTACAAATTATTAAATTGAAATTACTTAACGTTTGGTTTAATGTGAGATTTTTCACCATTCATCCCTATATACTACTGACATGCGCATATGTTGGTATGGTATGCTAAGCATGAAATTACCGGTGCAAGAAGGAATTGTGGTTACCACTGACAGCTTGACGATGTACTGTCAACAAATTTAAAAGTGCTATTCTGGTCTGCTTTGCATGACCTTTTCTACAAAATCAGTCTACAGGAGATAATAATTATCTCTATTACTATGATGATGATGATGATGATGACTTTTATTATCATATTTATTATTAGAGAGACTTTGAAAAAACTTGTATGTCTGTAGTTTCACCCTCATTTCAGGCAATTTAGGTGATAATTTGGTATGTTTTAGTTTAGCCGTTTTGAGAGGGTTGTCCCAAAGTGTAATGGACAAAACAGTGGCAAACTCCTGGATCCCTTTTCTTGCCCAGCATGTTTTGATTAGCTACGTTTTCCTGTGGGTATTGCTTTAATATTGCCATTTTAACCATTTCAGGGTTGCCACAGATCAGGAAATGGTCAGGAGGAAAAAACTTCAATGTCTGGGAAAGTTGATATGTTGAAGAAAAGTCAGGAAAAATCAATATTGTAACACTAAAGGCTGGAAGAAACTCAGGTCATTGTGATCTCAGCGATGTTTTCTTTCTTTTTTATGAAGCCAAATTTGTTGAAAACTTATCAGTCTTAGTGAACAGGTGGAAAGAGCAGCTGTAGAGAGTATGGTGAAAGCCTACTTATCTGACAACCCTGACTTTGTTGAATCTGTCACACACAAAACCTTCACATTTCATCACTCTATGAGAAGAAAAATCCTGCTACAGCTACCAATAGTTATCGGAAGTGGCTCTGGTCATCATTTTCTTTGGATGAACGTTATTTTTCTAAAACAGAATATGTATTGTGAGAAACGGTAGGTTATGATTGTGTACACTTTCATATGAACACTCCATAATGTTATTCAGGATGTTTTTAAATTTTATTTCTGGATAAAAAAACCACTACAATTAAATAATTTCTCTGGTTAACAATGAATGTATGCAGAGCCAGCTACTATTACAAACCCCGCATCAAAGGAAGGCCACAACATAGTATTGATCAATAAAAAAAGGGAACTTCATTTGTCTTGTGACTGAATCAAGTTTAATTTAATCTCGATCTTTCCCTTGATCTCTTTGGTCACTGTAGCAATAAACCATGCCTTGCCAAGAAGCAAAACAAATCCATATCAAAACAACGTATGCAGCACAGAGTGTGCAAGTTTTGTTCAAAACTATTAGTATTCACATTCATAAAAGAACTGTAGGAATTATTACTTTACAACAAACCTCACTTCATTGTGGCTGCTGTCATTGGTATTGCTGTTCTACAAAATCCAACTGTTACTAAGTCCTTCAATCGAGCAATGTTTTTATTAAGCTTCTTGAGTTGAGATCAGAGGTGAATACATGGCAAGAACACTTGGACTGAACTATAAATGTCAAATGCTGCATGGGTTTGCACAAAGAAAATCGTTGTTGAAAACACGTTTCATTTCTACAGTATTGTGGTCTTTCTTTTGTTTGTCATTCTAAACAATGTCTAATGCACTCTAAAGCTCTGTGCACGAGTCTCCTTTCTGGCAATTAAATTAATCACACTGAATTACTTCACAATGGATAAAACTTGGTCCAAAAGCATTCACAAAACAGTCAAATACAATCTTTACAATAATAATTATTTCACATTAATCTCAAGTTACTGGTGATTACTTTTACAGTTACACAGTAACTAAGGGCATAATATAATATCTTACAAACAGTAAAAATCTTCTCCCTAGTCAGTTGAGCTATGATTGTTCTATGTTATTTTAGTTAATTGATTTATAACATGAACACTTTATTTTCTAATTTGAAATGGTAAAATCAACTATATGTGGTAATATTAAAAGTCTAAATATCTTTGTGGGTTATGAACATTTGTGTATACTCAAATTATCTATAAATTTTGTCTTTTTGTCAACTATTTTTTGTCTGCCAAAATGATTTTAGTTAAATAACCTTCTACTTATATACTTAAGTCATTACCAGTCCTTAAAATTTCATTACTTAATATCATCCCCTTTACAAATAAAACTAATGGTATACAAGCTTCGTGGAAAATGCGATAAGCTTGATGGTACAGCCCTTCCAACTGAGGCCAACAAAAATGTTCCCTGAACATCATGTGTTTTCTAATCCAATCATCAACAAAAATTGCTAAGAAATAAATTGGCAATCTAAAGAACATGGACCTCTTAAGTAAATAACCAGTCTTATTTCATAACAATCTGGTCAACGCTTTATCCATGCAGCAACTAATTTATTAATTTTTTTTGCCTCAATTTCTTGGTGATTACTCCATTCAGAATGTAAACATTCACCCTATCTTCTTTCTTTGCCTTCATGTAAGAAACTTAAATGCTGCCCCATTACTTGGTGGTCACTGTCCAAGCTACTTTATGTAACAAAATGACCACCTGCCAAATTATATAACAACTAGTGACTCATTATGTAGAAATGTTAATAATGAATTATTGTAGCGAGCAAGTTGAAATTATGATACTGTTTCCAAAGTTTTGTGACATCACAAAAGCTCAATAATATTTAATGTTGTAGTTAAAAACCTTTGTTTTTTTTTGTTTTTTTTGCTCTAACCTTGATCTCAACCTCAGATACTGAATGACTGCAAACAAGCATCACAACAACAGGTATATTATCCCAAATAAGGATCGTCAACATAGGCTGGTAAAAACACTAATATAAACTACATTTAAATAGCACAATTGGCTCTGCACAAATCTATTGAGCAGAGCACTTTTTTAAATTGATAATAGACACACAAGGTTAAAAAGCGTTGTTCTCAAAAGATGAACATGTTGTTATACCATAAATACACTGCTGAATTTAGGATGAAAAGAACATTTATACTTTCGACAAAACACACGCAGTTATTAAATGTTTACATTTTTCTGGTTAAGTAATAATTTGCTTATCTGCAGGGTGAACGAGAAGAATGTAACAAGTACTTTGCAAAAAATAATTCACTGAGAAGTGATTGTCAATTTGTGAAATTTTAAGGAAGATGCTCTATTTCTGGGGAAAAGTTACAAGGTAAGCATGCTAAACAAAGTTTTGGAGTTTAGCTCTGTTCTAGTTGTGAACTTTGAGTCACAGAAAATCCACTGTCATATGACAATGAAAGTGACTGTTCTAAACCAAGTGAAGATCTCTTATCTGGTACAGTTCTAAACTGAATTGAATCGGGCAAAATTTCCACTACCATGCACAGCTGAATTTTGCAAGATCAACACCAAAAATTTGATAACATTTGACCCAAAGCTTCTGCATGCACACCTCCTGCCACTTGTGTTCTAATTAAAATTATGAACAACTGTTTCTATCAGAACGAAACAAAAAAACAGATCACTACACCATTTCCTAGTATGTTTTGCCCAATGTCCCTCACACAATCAAAAAATTCAGGAATTTAAAGATCAAAGCTTAAATATACCTATTATTCAAATTCTAGATAAAACTGAAATTATTGCAGCATGCAAACTGGATTTAAATACCTAGCAACAACCTAGTTACCTTAAACATTTCAAAACATAGTATCTCAGATCTTTAATTTTCATATCTGTTCGAGAATTTAATTGCAAGTGAAGTGAAACACTCACTAGACTTTTTGTCGAACTCAAGTTTAAATAATCGGTACACAGTTTTGCTTTCATGAATAGCCTTTGTATAGTACATAGAGTCTTGTCAAATCAAACAATATAACCCATTCAAATGCTCTAAGGAACAATGGCTTGGGAAACCATTCAAGCACTTTTGTCTTTGTAATGGTTTGTTCTAAGAATCGCACGACAATATAGATTGTTTTAAACACGCAATTTCGTAATATCTTTTATCCCCTGACAAATATTCCTACTGCAATAAAATAAATAGCAACTGCGGTCTTCGTCCTAGACAATAAATACCCAAAACCGACAAAGCCTGATCAATGTTTGTGCGTTAAAACTGCGTATACAGAGAAACGGCCCTCTTGTGATTCGAACATTTAATCGCTCCAAAAAAGTCGGCATTCGAAGTTGCTCGAAGTAAGACACACCTTGCGTTCGGAAGGCGTGTAAAAATCGCAGGCATAATTAGAATAGTCCGTTGGAAAACTTCAGCGAGCGCTCAACATTCTGGAAAACGAAACAAACATAACACAATTGTTAATCTCTCATATAATTAAAAATCTTTTGAATTGAAGTCTACCGCGCTGAAACCAGAACAATAGAAATACCGCGAAAACATTATTGTATAAAAGCTCTGTACAAAAGAAGAAGCGATGACGTGTGAAGAACATTGGGCAAAAACATAATAAACCCATTTTGTAAGGACAATCGTTAGTGGCCGAAAATTGCAGCCCTTTTATGTAACTGTACAACATCTGCGTACACAATACTAGACACAAACACGTGCACTGAATTTCCAATAGTGGGACAAGAAAGGAAAACAATCACAAATACATACGAATCGAGTGTACTGCCGTGCTTGGAAGAGATCTTTCGAAGAATGCCTTGTTACAAACTTCTAAGAGTAAATAAATAAACAAAACTTAAAACGCGAGTTGAGTTCTATGGCCTACCGAAATTTGAAAAGCGAAGAGTAATCCTAGGTTAAATACGACATCCTTCAGCTGTTTTGACTTCAATACTTTGTGGATGATCCGTGGATGGCGCCTCAACTTGGTTTTCACCCTCGCTTCTCGTCACTGGAACAGTGAGGACCGAATTTCCTTCCATCACATGTTGATTTTCCGTGCTTTTAGGCTGGATAGCATCCGAATTCGACGCTATTAGTCCTGCGGCCGAAACAGCCGCGAAATTACTGTTGAGTGGCGCAGCTATCGGAGCGGGAATGTTTATGGTTGTTAGAGCGCTATTTTCCGTACCTTTCTCTGTAGCCATGTTGTTTGTATTTTCCGTGGCGTTAACCAGATTACCACTCGATACGATAATCGGGGCACCAGCGTACTGCGCTAACGGAATAGCATAACTGGGAGTCGCAAATGTCGTTGCCACGGTGGTTCTCACCGCTTGCACGGCAGATACAGAGGCTGCTGGTTGGATCGATGTTGGATTCGTTACTGCAGCAGTTGTAACGAACGTTGGTCGTAAAATCATACTTCCTCCAGGTATAGGAGTCGTTGGAACGTACCCGACACTGCCGATGGGGGCGTAAGTGACAGCCCCCGCGGTATTAACCGCCTGAACGGACTGTATTCCTTGAGGAAAAACCTGAGCCACTTGAGAATTTTGTGTTAAAACTGTCGCTGGAAATGTGCCGTTCTGAGCCGCGATTGTTGCCGTCCCATTCATTGCTATTGGTGTCTGCGTTTGTCCACCAGCCCACCCGGGTGTCACAGCAACTCTCGTTTGAACATACGGACGTTTCATCGGTTTTTGCTTTCTCCTCGGTCGATATTTATAATCAGGGAATTCCTCCTTGTGTCTTTTGTCTAACCTAGCCGCCTCGTCTACGTATGGTTGTTTCTCGGCGGCAGGAAGCATTCGCCAAAGTTTTCCCAACATTTTGCTTAATTCGGCGTTATGCACATGAGGGTACTGCTCGGCAAGTTTTCTCCTCGCCGATTGCGCCCAAACCATGAACGAATTCATCGGCCGCTTAACGTGATTTTCCTTTTTCGGTAGCTGAACTTCCGAATACGGACCTGGCATAATTTGCGTCTTCATTGGCAGACCAGCAAGCTTAAAAGTGGCAGCAGCATCGATTTGCGGACATTCTGCTACAACAGTGTTTTCAGTAGCTGTGTTTTCTGTTACGGTTGTCGTCGCATGGATGGTATTAGCGTCGACATAATTCGGCGCTGTCGTCGTTATTTTCCAGTTAAAGTTCTGATCACTCGTTTTGATCTGTTCAACCTTTTCTATTTTCACTTCCCCGAGCTCGGCTCCGTTTGGGATCGCGTTATTGATTCCACTCGCTACCGTGGCCATTGTTGAGTTGATCACAACTAATATCACTGGCAGAGAAATGACATTTCTTGCAATCACGTGATGGAAAGGAAACACGTGACGAAGCGGAAAACGCGCGAGTTCTACAAAATGCCGAGCTCGAATTTCGGGCGAAAATCTTCAAGCCCGGGCCTTCTTGGTGGTCCAAAGGTGAATTTTCAACACTGGAGTGGAAACAAATGATAGAAATCCAAGCCGTCTTTGAACAATGCCGAATGGAACAATATCTGTTTTCGTTTGGGCTATTCAGCGTGTGGGGCGCTTTGTTCCACCGGGAGCCAATAGAATGCCAGGAATTGAAAGAACGCCGAAAGGCGTTAGATGGCGGAAGTTCCTGACAAAGCTCTCGACCACCGACCATTGTTCTCGCAGACAAGTGAGACACATTTGATCTCAATTATGCAGTCCAGTTGTCAGGGGAAATAATTGAACAAAAGTCTATTGTAATTAAATATCCTCTGATTGGTGGATTTCGGACAAAGAACGTCATCAAAAAATATTGCTTTCATCGTTGCGTGAAAGCGAAATCCTAAATTACACCATTTTAATGCCAATATCACCAGAAGGAAAAAACCCCTCTCATTAGTCCGTGGCTCGCTCCACGTCGCTTTCTTATGTCACAAAATTTTGTTAAAAATTTAACAAGAAAGGAAAAAAAAATACAGCGTCATTTATTTGGGGGAAATTATGTTAATCACGGGCATGTTCTTGTCTACTTGGCAGATGTTTTTTAACCACGATCAAATAAGAGCAGATGACAGTTTGCTTGCTAATGAGAGAAAATTTCACCACCCCGACTCACGAAAATTGGGTAATAGCTTGTAAATTTTCCCTATACAGTGATATCGGATGTAGGTTTGGACAATTTCCATAGTTCTTGCGACGCTTGATCGAAATACGTCCGAAGTTTGTTGGAAATCTGTACTTATTTTTCTGGTTATATTTTCAGTCTTCTATCTGCCTTGCGCTATGGGATGCCATCCGCTTTTGTAACACTAGACAACCGAACTCAAATTTGCAATTCGTTGTTTTTCCCGTTATAACAACAGCTGAATTTGAACTCTGGGCGTAATTTTAGATCTTTGTTATGCTTCGACTGCCGTTGTAATTAACCGGTACTCTTTCCCATGTCCGGCTATTTCCTCTTGTTTCTTTTGTTTGATTTCCTTCCTTCGGACTCATTTTTCGTGGTTTCCCCATTAAAAAACGTGTATATCATAGTAGTTTAGTTTGCTAAAGAAGTGCTGACAATTTATCAAGGCAGAAAAAAAAAACTGACATTCAGTCGCTGCGGTAAAATAATACTAATTTTCATCACACATTTGTAGCAAAAAGGCGCGATTAAAATGCTGGGGTCACAATAAGACTGCCCCACAATTATCAGTTCGACTGTGCCTATATGTGTTTCATTGTACACAAATAACTTGGAATAAGTGTACATACATACTTGCCTTAGCTTGAGACAACATTTATATCCGTCAAATTAATTAAGTAATATTCAAATGCAGGTTTTAAATGCAATTTGATATCAGAACTGAATCATGGACGAATTTATATAGTGTCTTTATATCGCTCGTCTCTTTTGTTCAACCTATTGAATGTAATAAATCTTCAAGCGACACCCAAATACTAGAGAGCGTGAATTTGTCGATTTACGCTCACTTTGAGGAGTTAGAAGCGACGTAGAAATTAATTAACACATACTAATAATTCGAAAACTATTCAACCACACTATTAAATCGACACATCGAAATTTATAGCTAACCCAGTGCAAGCACCTTACCATAATTTATAATCAAAAGCGAACCTGAAACGTAAATTTTCCCGATAGTCCACAGAAGGCCAAAATAAACCATGTTTTTATTTGCTGATCATTATAATAGCTAGCTTCCTGCAGCTTCTCTATCTCCAACAAAACATCACCAGCTTGCTACAGCGTTGTCAGTTTATGGACGTTTTTCTACTGCAAGACGAGTACAAGCCATGCGCGTTGCGAGTTTGATCGCGCGTGACTGACTCGTGTCTCGTGCTTAGCCACCTGCAACCAGATGTTGATGAAGACTGAAGTTGTACATGAAATGTTAAACTAACTCTACCTAGCTCTTTATTTTTAGACATTCAGAGTGAAAATACTAAACACCAAAGTTGTTTCATGTTCTGGCAAAGCCATTCTTTTGGTAATATTTACCTGTAAAAAGCTATGCTTAGCCTTTTACTAACAATGATATCATATTACGTAAATTGTCCTTCGCGAAACGGAGCGTCTTCTCTGTCATAAGAGGTTATGAAGTTTCTTTTATCAGTTTGCTCAAATTTTAGAAAAAAAATACCCAGTGCTTTTGTATTAAAGCGCGATAAAAATTATGAGATTTGAAGTTTACAATGAAAAAAAAAAAAAAAGATTCTTCAAACAAATTCCAAAGTGACTGCTATAACACAGCTGGTGGCGGAATCTGTTCTGCTTCCTCATTTCAACATTACAGCCGCAGATTTATCGAGTCTGCTTATTTTCCGGATTTTTAGAATCTTGCTACGAACGTGTTAACTGATTTAAAAATCGCCGCAGGGCTGAGATTTAAGAAGTATCTCTCCTATCTGCGTAACACCAGAAGTGGAGGTGGGGGAGGGGGGCACACCCTACCCACCCTCCCCTCCTGCTTCGCGTGACTTTCTCTCTCCAAATAGTTCCGTGTAGTACATCAAATTGTCTGAATTAAAGGCGTCGTCACACTAGATGTTGTTACATCTTTTCTCGTCATTTTACTTCGACACAAGCTATACGAAATATTACCTACGTACAGAGGCGTTTTAATATTCATACATATACAAATGGACACAATTTCAATTTTAAGTAACAACTTTACGGACATATTGTGGAAGCAATATAGAATCAATCCAGCCATTGTTTATTTCGTTTTTGGCTAGATAGATAAACAGGTCTTTCTCTTCTTCCAAACTAATGAATACAAGTGGCCTTTAGGCCTTAACATAAATTTCGGCCGATGCATGTGAGAGACACGTGATCGGCATGTGCAACGAAAAATCGCGTTCACACGGGAGACAATTATTCGTGATTGGTTTATTTTCTGATACTGTTACAGGTATGTCATACGTGAAGAGTTTACATGAGAGGACAATTACTTTAAAAGCTCACTCAGCCTTGTGTCTGCAACATCATTTAAATAGATTTGATTTTTATTTATTTATTATTTCTCACACGGAGGGAGGGACTAAAGCGGAAACGCGCAAATCGATATTATTTCTTCTCAGCGTCTATTCTACGCGCCCTTTATTCCGTCAGTCCCTTTTGAAATTAGATTCAATTTGTGTGGTGCTTCAAAAATATACTACTACCTAAATTTCAAACTTAATTATTACAATTAAGAAATTTTTCTACCAGCACGTGCAAGAACACCGAGATTTACAAATTTTACTAGTTGTTCTACATTTAGCGGAATATATTCCATTCCAGTCTCTAGCTCATCATTCCTGGCTGAGCAAAGCCGCTAGAGGACTGGTACAAGTTTAGAGGTGTAAAGCCGTCAGTGATAAGTACATTGTGTATTCCCAGTGCCTTGAGAAGTCCGGCCTGTTGAGGAAAAACAGTCAAGTGAAAATGTTTCTTAATATCAGACAATTTGGTACGCTATGATTTGCTGTTTACACGAAAAATCTTCTTACAAAGAGTTTCGGTTTGACACCCAATCTTTTTTTTTTTTGCTTTCCACGAAATCTAGTTTTCAGGACCCCGAGATGCCGATTATCATTCCTGACCAATCACAGCAAACGCGTATCACACAATTAGCCAATCAGCGCACGAAGCAGATATTTGGGAACCGGTCATTATTTACCGCCTCGGGGGAGTCGGAGGATTTTGGGGGATCATTTGATTTTTAGGATAATAGAAGGGGGATTCAGTCATAACTGAGAGCCCAAAAAGGGGGGACCGCTAAATGTCATATGCCCATACGGACTTGGTGGACGGCTATTTGGAACTCTCAAAAGTAACTTTGCAGTTTCCAAACACTTAGGATCGTTAGATTGCTAGTAGGTCAACTCGGAGTTCTCAGTAGAACGGCAGAATTCCACCAGCTGTAAAATCGAATGTAGCCAGCTATTCCGGTTATTAAAATTTGCACACATATAACAATAAATTAAGACTTACAGACGTTTCACGAAGAAAATAGTATTTTAAAACGGTGAAACAGTGCTACTTGCTACGTCTAACTTTACGATCACAACACTTTGCGCGCCCCCCCCCCCCCCCCCCCCCCNAAAAAAAATGCATGAAATCGCATCTTTGGTAACCTACAATTTCAAAATTTTCTGGAGGAACATGCCCCCGGACCCCACCTAGGTTGGCTTGGCCCTTCGGGTCTCGCTTTACTTTATGTCGCCTGTTATGCTTTATTGGACGCCTGTGAAAACTGCTACATGTAAGAACCCAGATCAGATGTCGGGATGACACGGATCAAGAGACTGCACCATGGCGGCTTCAGTATACTGTAAGTACATCATGACAGCACTAACTATACACGTCGAAAGGTGAATATGTGTGCGAGGGCATCGTGGGGGGGGAGAGGGATCACGAAATTTATCAACAGTTTTGAGGGGGATCACTTCAATAAAATAACATCTAAAAGGGGGATCAGCTGAATGTTACTGTCTTCCATCAGAAATACTTCCAGAATTAAAGGAAACTTGTTTTCAACTTACCTGCGACTCGGGACCAGAGCGTGCAATCTTCTTGATTGCGTCAGAACTCACGGCTTTTACCATGGAAGCGAACTTATTTGACTAAGTAGACAAAAATATCAAGAATAGCTAAGTCAGGATCACTTAAAAAACACTATTACTGCCACAATAACGGATCTCTTGTCTCAAACCTCGATTTCTGCTAATTCCTTGGCCTTCTGTAGCTCCAGTTCATTGAGTTTTTTCTGATGTTCAAGTTCGCCTTCTTTTTCCTGAAAATAGCAAAGAAACATTATTGCTTAAAATAAACGCTTACACGGGTAGTCCATGAATAGATACCGTTTTCTGTGTATAAACAGATACTGAACTCTTTTCCCGTCCATTAGTGAATGAGAAGTGTGTGTTTAAGTGGTGCTGTTGTTATTTGTTGTGGTTTTGTAAAGCTACAAAAGCTAAATAATGAGCTGAACGCCCTTACTTGTAAGAGATGGCTCGACATTCCTATCTTTGTAACATAATTGCGTTTTCAACCCCACGTGGATGTTTCTCCAAACCCTGTCTCTGTTTAAAAGAAAGCCCGAATTTACGTATAACAACAATTCATCTCTCTACTCAGCATTTCAGCTTCTCACAGCATCAACGATCTAATTTCAACAAAGTTGCTCTAGTTTTTCTCTTCTTCCTTTCTTTTCTCTGAAGAAGGGTTTCAGAAAAACTGAAGGTGAAAAGTTATCCAACAGAAAATGACCCATGTAGACTGCAACCCAGTTGTCTCTCAAAATGTGGTGGCGGGGTGTGGGTGGCAGGGAGGTTTGAGGGGCAAGTTCATACTTTAATCGATGCGGGCATCATGCAGTGGTTGAACACGAAAGTTTGTACACAAAAAAGGACTGAAAAATGGTTTGAATAGAAACTTAGATCCTGGGTGACATTCACCTTCATCGATATCACCAGTATCACAGTTGTTCCGTGAACGCGTTTCTTTTATATCTTACCAGTCTTTTTGATTCTAACTCAGCAATAAGTTGAACCTGCTCAGCTTCCGCTTTCAACTTTGCAACTGAAAGAAAGAAAACCTCACGTCAGTGCCAAAGAGCTAGCGGGCCTTTACCTCTTCTTGATGATTATGACGTATATGTAAAAATCATATTTCACCAATCAATACAATATAACTGACAAACTGAAGTTACCTTCTATTGCACTTTCGCCTTCGATCAGCAACCGTTCAGCTTGGGCCTGTTAAAATACAATGAAAGTAAATGTAAAATCCCTGAGCAGCAAATGAGAAAGTCAACAAAAAGGCGGACAAAATGAGAAACACAACATGTGAAATATAAATGAGAAACTGACCTGTGCTTCTGCTTTTGTTTGTCCAGAGGACTCCACCGCAGCTGTCACAGCTCTGAGTTCAAATAACTTCACTCGCGCATTCTCTGCTTCCTAAAAATAAAAAGTGTTACCTAACTCACTAGTCTTCAAGAGAGGCAAAATAAACCTGGGAAATCGCTCGTAAATCCACCCTCTTCCCCAGGATCGCTTCCTTAGGGAAATGTTCTCTCCCCCACAACCCCTATCATGTCCTAAGTAACAAAGTCGAACTTCACCCTGTGTTAACGGCACGCGGTGTTGAAACATACAGAATAAAACGACTTACGAGAGCCACTTAGGTAATTACTTTAGTTTTCTCTTTGACGTATGTCGGCCTTATGGCGAAACAAGCCACTTTATTATTTTTGATTTATTGATTCAAATTGTTGGGCAGTATACTAACCTTCTCGTTCGTGAGTTTCTGTCTTTCTAACATTCCTTTGGCCATTTGCTCTGTTCTCTTTGCTTCGTGTTCTGCCGCTCGCTCAATGGACCTGACGTGATAAATCAATCAACATCTGATTTCTTTTCACAGTGAAGATACTTCGCTAAAAGAACAATATTAAAAGAAACACACAACGGCCAATAACGAGAATTGATTTGTTACACTTGGCACTTAATTTAGCCTAAACAAAAACTACGAGGGGTTCTCGATTGTCAGCCACTCACTACTCTTGTACGTATAGTCAGCTAAATCTCTCGTGTACTCTATTGACAGCAGACTGAAAAATTGTACGTTAACTACAAATATAAAATGGAGAGTTAAATATGTGGACAGGACTAAGCTGATATTTCTAATAGGCGTTATCGATTTGTGGACCTTTGTGAAGTACTTTCAGGAAAAGCCTAGTGGCTAAAGAGGCCGAATTGAGCTCCCCCCTGCCCCCCTCTCTCGCCCCCAAACCCCTACCGCCCCTATTGCAAGCTATCTCCAATCTTTCTGTGTGTGTCTCCTGCAGAACTTTATAAAGATCTTTTTATAGCAATAACAAGTACTTTCCCGCGTAGAGGTAGAGTCACCTTACTTGGTGGAAATCTCAATTGCCATTTGGACAGATTTACTCAGACTTTCACTCATGTGTAGGTCCACAGGTTCAATACTCTGAATATCCACGTTAGTTACCACCTAAAAAAGAAAAAAAAACCATCCAAAAAGGAACAGTGAACTTAGATTCGCAACTACCAATCGCTCACTCTTCTTCATCGTAATCACTATAAGCATGGATTTAACAGTTCGTAACGCAAGTTCTTGTCTCCAACTTTCTTTTACCATGACCTGCCCGACCTCGTCGTTCATCCATTTCCTTTACAATAATTGCACGTGCTACACTACCCGTTGCTGGGAAACATTTTAATGAGACGTACTCCGCGGAAACCTACATGTAAGCAACGGCGATGAGGACGAGGCCTAGTAAAAAATGAATTTATATTTTACCAGCGAAATTCGCAACCGTCTAGATCTGTTCAATACGTCAATGGCTCTAAAAACGTGCTCAGGTTAACTATTCAATGACAGCGTTCAAATCCAGATGGAAAGAGGAAAAATTAGCCGTCGTCGTTTGCGTTCCTCAGACTACGTAGAACCTAGTCATTTCACGTTCTTGTTTTGCAGAGGGACGGCAAAGAAATGTAGACAATTTCAAATTTCGCTGGTAAAATATGAATTCATTTTTGACTAGGCGTCGTTCAGGCCAAAGTTTGACCCGAAGCAAAAACAGTTTCTAGTTTTCGAGAAGCAAACTTTGTTTCCGCAACATGTCCTCTGCACCATTACTTCCTTGTTTACACAGGATTGTATGATCAAAAATATTCCTTCCCGAATTTTTTTCCACGCGGACAAATGCGGAAGCGTTTACTGCGGAAGCAAAATTGTTCTGAAAAGCACAATCAGAAACATTTTTTGCCTCTAAGAAAGACTGAAAATTTGCTTCCGCAACAAATACGTAGAAACAGGAAAGAAACGGTCCGGAAACAATGTTTCCATTACAAGGGTTCCTTGCGTTTGCAAAGAAATTATTTGACCAGTTCGTTTGCATGTTAGTCAAGCCTACAAAACAAGTCTTTCACTGTGTATTGTTAGGAAACTTGATTCGAAAATGGTTTTTTTTTAAGATCATACAAAACGTCAAGTTCCCCTTATAACAAAACTGGCTTGTTGTTTCACCAAGCTTTGTAATAATGTTAGTTTTTCGATAAAGGTGCCCTCTGGGCTAAAGATATCACCCCAACCGTTTCAGAGAAAGCTCGAGGAAATAACAGAAACTTCCGAGGAAAAAAACTGATTTCCTTACCAATTGGTTTGCATCAAATCTAAGCCGTTGCTTAACGTTCCCATCCTTGTCCACGCCAAACACAGCCTTCTTTATAATGGACGTGGAGTAACGATGGAACTCATCAAAAGGAACTTGTGCTACTTTACCACGTATCCGGCTGGCTAAAAATATTAGAAGGACAGTACTTCGAGTGAGCAGACACGAAATGTCCCGCCTCAAAGTAGATAGACACCTTCACAGGGCCGCAATAAGATCAACAGAAGCACGATAGATACTTTTACGTTACAACTCAAAATATTGATTATAGCTGTAAAAATCAGTCTTTCCTCACAACTGCACGCAACAAATGCCACATTTATCTGAGTATCCCAAACACAGGCAAGATTTGCAACAATATTGGAGCGAAGTTTCAAATGAATCTGACCATTTCTACCTAACAGCTCCTCATCATTTCTTGAGTACTTTTTTT